TTATTTTCCTTCGCCTCAAGTGGAGAGTTAAAAGCATAGTTCTTGTGATTCTGTTGGGGTCCTTGTTCTTTTTGGTTTGTCATGTTGTGGTGGTGAGCATACATGAGAAAGTGCAGACTGAGGTATATGAAGGAAACGGCACTAGGAAGACCAAATTGAGGGACATTTTACAGCTTTCAAATATGACTATATTCACACTAGCAAACTTCATACCCTTTGGTATGTCCCTGACGTCTTTTGTGCTGTTGATCTTTTCCCTCTGGAAACATCTCAAGAGGATGCAGCTCTGTGATAAGGGATCCCAAGATCCCAGCACCAAGGTCCACATAAGAGCCATGCAGACGGTGGTCTCCTTTCTCTTGTTCTTTGCCGGTTACTTCTTTACTCTGACGATCACAATTTGGAGTTCTAATTGGCTGCAGAACGAGTTCGGCTTCCTCCTTTGCCAGGTTATTGGAATCCTATATCCTTCAATCCGCTTGTTGATGCTGATTCGGGGAAACAAGAAGCTAAGACAGGCCTTTCTGTCATTTCTGTGGCAGCTGAAGTGCTGACTGAAAGAAACAAAGAGGAGCATCGTGTGTCTTCTAGGAGAAAACCAGTTGATGGAGTCCATAACATTTTATACTTCTTACCTCTTTTGGGGCGCCTGGGTGGCTCAGCCGGTTAGGCATCTGACTTTGGCTCCGGTCATGATCTTGCGGTTCATAGGTTTGAGCCCTGCATCGGGCTCTGTGCTGATGTCTCAGAGCCTGGACCTTGCTTCGGATTCTGTGTCTCCCTCTTTCTGACCCTCCCTTGCTCATGCTCTGTCTCTATCTCTCTCAAAATAAATAAACATTAAGAAAAAGTATACTTCTTACCTCTTTTTCTAATGAGTATATCATGGAGTAATTTCCAAAGGTTTACCTTAGAAAGCCTTTTATTTAAGCATATCACAAAAGTATATGCAGATGTGTTTGTGAAAAATATAAGAAAAATGATATGATTATCATTTCATTAGCTGATTTTTTCAGGTAAGGAATCTAATTATACGAAATATTGTAAGAAATTCCTCAGGATTATGAAGCAATGTGTATTTCATATACATATTCTATGTTATTATTTTCTGGTTTAAGAGTTTATAATATATATTTATGCATTTTTAAGAATGACAACTTAATCTCAGGAAATAATTGCTCTTTTCCATTGTAATTAGATCCATGCATATGTACCACGGTGTGTTTAGATTCTATTGTTTGGATCTTCGGTCTTTTGGATGGTAATGATATTGGATTGTAAATCACAGATTGAGGATGAGTGTTTGGGGTAGGTATTATTCCATCATAAATATGTCATGGTTAATAGAGAGCCATCAGAGCTTTATTAGAAAAAGATGCACACAATAAAATTCAAGAGTGACACTTATATTTAGAATAAATTTCACATATGTGTATAAGAAACAAAGCTAAAGAATATTAGATTAATAAAAGTAGGTAACATCTTAGAGAAAAAATCAAGTTCTGCAGTAGGGATGAGAAAGAAAAAAATGATCGTGACTTGCTTTCAATGCTTCTATGTTCCCATATACCACTAGGAAAGTCATTTCTTACGGTTTGTGAATTAAGAAGACCTTTTTGGAAGTTGAGGTCTGATCTCAAATTGTTCAGTTTTCGTCTTTGAATCTCTGAACTGCCAATTATTTTTTCCATCTTGCCACCTAAAAGTTTCTCTTAAACTTCAAATAACAAGACTCAGCTGTTCCTTGTCTTAAAAATATGTTCATTGTAAGAATAGTAAAAAAAATAATAGGGGGGCACCTGGGTGGCTCAGTTAGTTAAGCATCTGACTCTCGGTTTCGGTTCAGGTCATGATCTCATCGTTTCATTATTCGAGCCCTGCATCAGGCCCTGTGCTGACAGTGTGGAGCCTGCTTGGGATTCTGACTCTCCCTTTCTCTCTGCCCCTCCCCTGCTCTCTCTCTCTTTCTCAAAACTAAATAAATGTTTAAAAATTATGATACATAATTATCCTTCTGTATATACTAAAATAGTATTTATTATATGTGTGTAATAAATATCAGGAATATCTTCAATATTTGTTTTATTAGAATCTTGTGGAAATTGATGAAATAATGTGTGGAGATATTATTAATAACATTCTGTTATAAGAAAGAAATGTGTAACCTTGTTCAGGAGGTCTGTAATAATTCTTATGAAATTTTAACATTATCAAAACTCCAATAAATTACTTCTATATCTGATTTATTCATTTGTTTTTAATAATCTGTCTTCCCCAGTAAAATATGAACAATGTAATGTGTAGATCATGTCTGTGATGTTTCCTGCTGACTCCTCAGGATATAAAGCTGGCCCATAGAATAGTTGCTCCAAATGATATGCGAATGACCAAAGAAATGGGTGAATAAAGCTATACTATGGCTGGAAAACCAATGAAAACAAAATCCACCACAAAAATCTGCAGGATGCATGGATTTCTTGGTTCTGTTTCTTCACTATTCAGATCGTCTAAATGAAACTGCACACTTTCAGTTCCAATTTCTGTATTAGACTGGGAAGACAAAATGCTGCCACAAATAGGCTCCAAACATAAAAGTGACTCATACATAATGCAGATTTAAATTGCTCTTTTCACAGTACAGATGTGTTTGAGGAGCTCTCTCTATACAGTTATCCAGGGAATCAGACTGATCAAAAGGATTCCATCTTTAACATGTGGTTGGGATCGCCTTGGAGTCATCCCCATTCCTGACGGCCAGGATGAAAGAGGTGTATGGAGAACTGTTCACGGAGAGATTTTGTTGGGACGGGCCTGTAAACGATGCACTCCTATGTAAATGAAAATTTTCACTCCTACGACATTGTTCAGTTTTCGGTCACATTGCCGTAACCGTCTATAAGGGAGGCTGGGAAATATAGCCTCTCTATAGCCCAGAAGGCAGGTGAAATGGAATTTAAGACATGTGGCAGGGCACTTAGTACCATTTCAACCGAAATAGCCAATAAGTTGTCGTAAAACAAACAGGTTCCTCCTTTAGAAGCATGGTGTAGCTTGCTTATGTCGCTTGGATAATTTATACATGCTCTTAGATCAGTCTCGAATATCCGTTCTTTTTTTCTATTTCTTCATACACCCTAAAGAGTTCAAATTCAGCGAAATGTTTCTATCCTCATAACACCATTAAGTGATCATGCACTGTAGCATTTGCAGCTTCCTCGTGTATATTCCCAGTGCACGTTGCTTGTAACTTCCGATTTAGCTCTTACAATATTATGCACTAATTACTTATAGTTTTTTGCTCTAGAACTTGGGTGTGCTCTTTGAACTAGAAATAATTTTATTAAATTATTCCT